AATACCTCATTTCAAATGAAAAAATCCAAAAAATTCCAAGTCAAAAAAAGTCGGTATTTTCGGTATCGGTATATACCGAAGTTCGGTATTTTCGGTATTCGGTATACCGATACCGGTGCATACCTAAATAATACCTTTGTATCTTTTTTCGATAAGAAAACCGTCCTTACATATAGAGTCCGTATTTCATAGAGAACAGCTCAGTACATGCCCTCTGATATATGTTTCCAAATATGAATGAACTCTTATGCCATAAGAACTTGTCCGAAATTCAAGAAGAAGTGTAGGGGTAGAGCGAGGTCTTAATAGGAGACAAGGAAGTTGACTCCAAATATTCTTATTTCAGAAACATCTGTTCATATGTAGCATATTGATTATTTTGTAGATCGTATAACCATGAGAAAGAATTTTTTATATGGAATATCTAAACAGCTTCTGAAGAGTATGATGCAAAGGAGCAATAAAGCGACTTCATGACACTTTCTTTACTAAAGAAATATATTTTATAATTAACCGTTCTGCCGTATTAACTTTTCTCATGCGATTTTCAACTCGAAACTGACACATCACTAAAATAAGAACAGCAAAATACTGTTCGTACTGACCTTAGATATTCATATGTACATAAAAAATAAATATTTTCAATAAATTGCACAAAATTGTTTCCAAAAATCAATTTTCAGAGGGAGTCGTCTAATGTGTCGAGGGCTTTATGCTTTTCATTGTCTCTTATCGTACATAAAATTGTAAAAATTCTAAGTGTCTTTTTTTCTGGAAAATATTCAGATTTCTGATCCGATTCGATCCGACAGATCCGAGCTCAGATGTGTTTTTCATAACCTGACCCAAACCCAAGTCGAACTGCGGTATATATTCTGAAAACACTTCGAATTCTCTACTATCTGATATACTTTGTCGGTGATTTTCACCTATATTCCAACGGACAGTACCTGTGTTAATGAGCATCACTGCTTTATAAAGTATAGTAAATTGGACATTTGCAGAAGACCTTATTTCCAGATCTAAGGTCTCAGTGAGAGTTTTTTGAGACTCGTTTCATCGGTCCTACTGTTGAGATCTTCAAAGATTTCAATCTCATGTGAACGTTGTTTCGAGACTTTTCCATCTTCGTTTTCTGTTATTTCCTGATGGAAACATAGCTATTTCGGTGAGGTTTCTGGCGGGTACGATGAAAGTTCGAGGACACTCCTGCAGGTTCCGGATTTCCGGGCGGGTTTCTTGAGCGAGAAATGTATAGGAAAACATCCATTTCGGTACGGGGTGTCTCTGGCTGGAATACTGCTTCCACCTTCCGGATGTTTTTTCGGCCGCTTCGAACGGGAAAGATGCGGGAATCGTTGATGCGTCGACTGACCGCTTCGATGTTGAGAAAATGAATTGTCTCTGTTCTGCTAGATAGTTCCTGCTGGGTAGCCAGACGGGCTTATTATAAACACATATTAAAGAGATTTTTTAATTGCTGATGAGCTTTATTTTTAAAATAAAGCGAAACGTGTCCAACATTAATTTATCTGCACTTGAACAAGCATTTTAGACAAACAAACATTTGAACCAAAAGAGCGTCGAAGCGTTTTCTGAATAGAGGACCTTTGACCTAAAACAGTTGAGACTTAGATGTGTTTTTGAATAAAAACCACTTGTCTTTCATCTTCCTTTCCTCCACATATAATTGATAGAAACGACTCTAGACCGAAAGTCCAGTAGGCACGTGTCTTAACCGTTTTTATATTATATTCCGATCCAGTTCCAAGGTGAACTGAGGGTGATACAGAGTGTAGGCCAACTGATTTATTATTGATACTATTTCTAATGTTTAAATTGATTAAAGCCGCTGAAAAATGAAGACTACTGGTCCATATAATCTTTAGGCAAATTATTCGAGCTCTGTCATTGCATGAGCAGAGACAAAAACCTTTTATTAGATAGGAAAAGGTAGACAAGCTAACCAACGTAATGATTCCACAAAAAGAAGTAAAAAGCGTTAAATTTGACTTTTACGCCAGAATACTTATTGTACAAAGGATCATCTCTTTCAAGTGCAGCAACCAGCAACCGTTCACATACATAACAGAAGCCTTTACATTACTTCGGTTTTCGACCGTGTATCTTCATGAAACGTTGACAATCTGACGGTCAGATTCTAGAAAATGATGTACCTGTCAGCACAATGTTCATAGCATATGATAGATTGTTACTTTATTATGATGCTGTAGACTTTAATCTAAAGATTTAAATAGTCTAAGCAGAAGTGATTCACCAGTTTAATATCCACATACATATCTTCAACGACCTTTTTCCAGTCAGAGCTTCCACCTCAAAAAACAAAAGCCAGATTTGTGACCTATACAAAAGAGCTAATCATAAGACATGTTTGATGCGTATATCTCCAATAAAAAGCTCGTTTTCAGATTTCAGCACCCAACCATTTTACAACCAACTCATTCCTGATTAAAAGTAATACTAGCAAGTTTTGTTTATTCACAGACGAACCTAAACAACAATGAGACATTTTCATAGTTAAAATATCTACGACTGGAAACTCGAAGCGAACATCGACTTCAAAGAAAAACCGAAGCCGGAAGTTTCTTCGCAGTAAAAACAACAAGTCTAAAAACGACTATAAGCCTGAAACAAATACCAAAAAAAATGAACACATAAACAACTGCTCCACCATCACACACATACACAATTGCCCGCCCAAAACAACTATCCTTTACACAAACTTCTTTGCTCCGGACAACATCTTCTCAACTCCGACACGGTCCGGATGGCCTGATGCAAGAAACTTTTTACGAATCTTCAAGCACCTTTCAAAATATCCTACAGCACGCTTATACTCGCTTCTCTTGTAATAAACAACGCCAATGTTATTCAGACTATCACCAATATCTGGATGATCAGACGGCAAACATTTTTCTCTCATCTTGAGACATTTTGAATAATAGTCCAAAGCACGATCATACTCGCCTTTCCTGTTATAAATATTGCCAATATTATTTAGACTATGAGCAATATCTGGATGATCAGATGGCAAACATTTTTCTCTCATCTTGAGACATTTTGAATAATAGTCCAAAGCACGATCATACTCGCCTTTGCTGCCATAAACCACACCAATATTATTTAGATTACTAGCAATATGTGGATGATCAGATGGCAAACATTTCTCTTGAACCTTGAGACATTTTGAATAATAGTCCAAAGCACGATCATACTCGCCTTTGCTGTTATAAATATTGCCAATGTTATTCAGACTATCACCAATATCTGGATGATCAGACGGCAAACATTTTTCTCTCATCCTGAGACATTTTGAATAATAGTTCAAAGCACGATCACACTCGCCTTTGCAGTCATAAATATTGCCAATATTATTCAGACTACGAGCAATATCTGGATGATCAGATGGCAAACATTTTTCTCTCATCTTGAGACATTTTGAATAATAGTCCAAAGCACGATCATACTCGCCTTTCCTGTCATAAACACTGCCCATATTATTCAGACTAGCAGCAATATGTGGATGATCAGATGGCAAACATTTTTCTCTCATCTTGAGACATTTTGAATAATAGTCCAAAGCATGATCATACTCGCCTTTGCTGTTATAAATATTGCCAATGTTATTCAGACTATCACCAATATCTGAATGATCAGATGGCAAACATTTTTCTCTCATCTTGAGACATTTTGAATAATAGTCCAAAGCACGATCATACTCGCCTTTGCTGTTATAAATATTGCCAATATTATTCAGACTACTAGCAATATGTGGATGATCAGATGGCAAACATTTTTCTTGAATCTTGAGACATTTTGAATAATAGTCCAAAGCACGATCATACTCGCCTTTGCTGTTATAAATATTGCCAATGGTATTCAGACTATCACCAATATCTGGGTGATCAGATGGCAAACACTTTTCTTGAATCTTGAGACATTTTGAACAATAGTCCAAAGCACGATCATACTCGCCTTTGCTGCCATAAACCACACCAATATTATTTAATACTATAGCTGATGCTTTCTCAGGCACTGGCTTGCTCATCATCATTGTTGCATAGCTATGCTCATACAGCTGCAGTTCTTTGTCGTACTCGCCTCTGAAGCCGTGAGCACGCCCAAGGTTAAACTCAATGTCACTTATATTTTCATCTTTATGATTTTGAAGTAGATTCTCAAAGTACTTCATTGATTTGTCATACTGTCCCATATCACAAAGAAGTGAATCAAACATGACCGCAACGCTTCTTTGCTCGAGCTCTTTTCTATTCAACTTGATATATTCTCGTGCTATATCTGCTCCTTCGCTTGTTACTCTTAGCTTTACACGACTGAGATCCGGCTTTTCACGATTAACTGACTGAATTTTGAAAGTTGCACCTAGATCAAAGAGGACTTCCTGCTCTTCTGGATAATCGCTAAACTTCGCGATGTCGGCACACACAATGTCATGATCATTTAACTCACTCAAATCATACTCAATCTCAAAGAGAACAACAACAGCGTCTCGACGCTTCGTCGACTGAGATGCGAAATTCTGCGCCACTGAGGGCAAACGACTTGTTGACAGAAAACCATTCATCGAGATGAGTTTGCCTTCATTCGCTTTCAGCTTTTCAACTTCTTCATTCGACAGTTTCACACCACGATAGACTTGAAGCACACCCTTCTCGCGCTCTCTCATCTTCTCATACTCTTGTGCAAGACTTGAGCACAGATCGGCAATGAAAAAGCGAAATATGGGCAGTTGTTCGATGGCTTCTGTACGGAGAGCTTTGTGGATGAGCGTA